GGCGACATTTTGGACAATGGAATGGAAATTCGGTGGCATGGACTTTCCTGTGACGTTTCAAAGCATGCTTGTGTGTAAAAGACTTTGCACATATTTCGCATTCAAAAGGCTTTTCGCCTGTGTGGATTCGGAGGTGCACATTGAGATGTCCTTTTTGTGATGTAGCATAACTACACAAATCACATTTGTGATTCTTAGGCTTCTCGGCTCCTTTTTGCTTCTTCGCTTTCGAATTACGTCCACGTTGCCCTTTGCTATTGTATGCCGTTTGTACTGGACGATATCGATGATCATCACTTCTATTATCGCCTTCGCGTTGATTTGAACCATGATCCGGTGACGATGGGCAGCAATTCTTCTTCGAACATTCTTCGTCTTCACTTTTGATTTCGTTCTTCGCACAATCAAGATCGTATTTCGTGCACGGCTCACTGTCGCTCTCGCTCTCGGATTTAACCGTGCCATTCACATCCATTGGTATTGGTGATGGAGGCGAGTAATGAATCATTCCGAAATCGTCTCTTGGCTCCTCTTTGACAACGACTTCTTCTTTGATTGTAACCTTCGATGCTGCATGCTTGCACTTGCACCTGCGCTTGCTCTTTCCACCTAATGTACCTTTTAGTGCATATGGATTCATTGTGTTTTTGTTCAACTACGCGTGAAAGATAAAATAAAAGAAAAGTTTATTTTTTGTATGAATGAACGTAACTATTGACGTTAATACACATAACACAGTCCCTCGTTGATTACGTCACCACCGGCACGTCTGGCAACAACAAAAACATTTAAAGCGAATTCAAAATATTTGGCACCACAACTTTCATTATAATTATATTTAGTACTACTTGCACCAAACTGGTGGAATTTGGTGGAACTAACCAAATGTTGTGTGTAAAAATTAAATATTGATATTATATGCAATGACGTCATCGAATTTTCCAGAAAAAATTTTTTATGGAAAAAACATAGTCTGAGCATAATCTGCTTCAATTATATTTGAATAAATTCAGAAAAGGAATAAAAATCAATTGAATTTTCTTCGATGCCAAGTATTTTACTTTGAGATGTTTCAAAGACTAGATGTTTCTTTGGGAATGAGTTGCATAACTAACTACTACTCTATGTCTATTGCGCTACTAAGGTCTTCAACATCAACAAAAAATTCAACAAATTTTTGTCATTCAACTAAATTCAATTAATTCACAAAATGCCGGCAATGACAATCAAAATTCAAAAACACTTACCTTTAAAGTATTGAAATTTTCCAAACAAAAATCGCGACCAATTACACAGTCAGTATGAAACGTGTTTCTTCTTTCAGTGGCTGCGTGGTTGTGACCCGTTTGCTTTCACTATACACAATAAGTCAACACTAATACGGACATGATAGCGTGGACAGTACAGATTTGTGTTTTATAAGTTGGCAATTTCAATATTTCGGTGTGAAGTTGGTCGCCATCGATTGCCAATAATTCAAGCGCGAATATTTCATTTTTTAACATTTTCAAATTAACGATCGAAATTGAGTTCATGAAAAAAGTGAAAATTAAAAAAGATCGATTCTCTTATTCAAATTGAAGTTTGGCGATTAGACTCGCAACTTTGATTGGATACAATTGTTGAAGCTTGTTTCCTGACTTTGAAGAACTGATAAGGAGAATAAATGTACATCAATGTCACACCCATCATATTTAATTGCTATACATTTTATATGCTAATAAAACACTGTCAAATGATCCAACGTATGTCACTTAAACACAATTTCGGCACATAAAAGCTTTGAAACGACTTTTTTCTGCCAAAGATAAGCAATTCGATATAAAGATCTTGTTTTGTGTTTACAAAAATGTGTTGAAATGAGTTATATGTATCTTTTTTATTGTAAGCGATAAAAATAATTGTTTGAGTAAAAAAAGAGACCATATGTTGTCTTAGATCTTGAAATCGTTTAAATTTTTGTTTTTAATTTCATTGATAACAGATACACTTTACGATCTGGAGCAAATGTTTCTATGATTTGGCCTGTATTTTCATGCTTGATAGGTTCAGCCGTGGCCTCTTTACTGTGGGTTACAATATTTCGATCCGTAATTTTCTTGGAATTATCGGCAAAATGAAGTTCAATTTCTTCTAATGATCGATTCTCTGTTTCGGGTAAAATGTTATACATCAAAATGAGACCGCCGAAGCATATGCATGCATAAAGCAATGAAACACCACTCAGCGAAAGCATTGTTTCGAGATTGTAATAAGTTTTCTTCGCCATAAAACCAAAGACATAATTTGTGGCTGCTGCGACTCCACTCGTCATGCTACGAGACCTGGGAATAAATCAAAATCGATAAAAATGTGTGAGTTTTACATTTGGGGGTTAATAATTTTTGCTGAAGCTATAAATCGTGCCCGGAACAAATACTCACTTAAACGGAAACAGTTCGGATAGAAAAAGCCAAGGAAGAGTGATGAGACTAGCGAGTGAAAAGTACGCCCACATGATCAGGCAAAAAAATGGTATATATCCAAGTGCTTTGTTCTCCAACTGGAATGGTTCGTGATGTGCTTGATCGAAGGAAATATAACCAGGCGGCAGATATGTGTATCCAAACCATGTGATGGTAGTGACACAAGCCAATGTGACCGACATACCGAAGAGGTAGAATCGTCGCTTGCCGGTGAACGAAATCAAAAGCATTAAAGTCACATTTGATAGATTTTCAAGAGTGCCTAAGATCGCTGCCGCTTGATCCGCTGGAATGGGGCTGTTGTAAGCTTTGAAAATTTGCACCAAAAATGGTTTCATGGCCAACATGCCCGTAAATTGAGCGAGGAAAAATAGGGAAATCACGATGAATAATGGCTTAAGCGTTCGTTTCCGTTTCAATTCGATGAGTTTTTCGGACATTGTTGGTAGAGGATGAGTGCATTCCAAGTCCTGTTTGGTGCATGTGTCACACGACTTAGAACGTTCACTGTGCCGCTTTAAATTGATGAATTCTTGAGCTATAGCTTCATTCGACATCCAACCTCTTAGCCATTGGAGTGAGTTTTCGGCCGCTTCGGTTCGATTCTTTGAAATGAGCCAGTGTGGTGATTCTGGTATCTGTAAAGGTGGTTATAGAAATGTTTTCTTTTAAAAACTACTACTTCGGTTGTGTACTCAATATTAAGCACCACCACAGGTTACTGTATCTTAAAGAAGCAAAATGTGGCCTCTTTAAGGCTACATTATTATACGAATTTCGATAGAACACCTGAAAAGGACTCTGTACTTTTCAAAAATAGTTATTTTCTTACGAAGAATAGTGCCAAAGTTGAAATAACAGGCAACGTCAAACCAGCAAGACACACCATTCGCCAAGCCATCATTGTATTCAGCAGCGTAGTCATGAACATTCCAGTTGTAACACAAATATACGAATAACTCATCAAAATACCACGAAACGAAGCTTCGCTGAAAAAAAATAGCATATATCGGAACCAAAAATTAAAATGTCCAAAAATTGGTTAAAGTTCAATCAAGTCTCACCATATTTCACCTAAAAAATTGTAATTGTTTTGTAATTAAGAAACCGTGAGTAAAGTCTACTTCAAAATACCTATATAAGTCACAATTGCCGATTCCATTAGTCCAATGGCCAATCCCAAAAATGTGATGCCAATGAATACATGCGATACTGTACTCGCTTGGTAAAGCGTGTACCACCCGATGGCAAATGGAATATTCACAAGAATCATAGACCGCTTACGGCCCAATGGATCTAGAGAACAAATAATGATATCAGTGATTCCCATTGAATGTCATAGACTTTGACAATTATACCTGCGATTGGCACTGACATCAAACATCCAATCGGTTGAATCAAATACATCAGGGAACCTGTTGAAATTTGAAAGCACATTTTTTTCAACAGTTTGAGAGTAATGTTTGGAAAATATGTCATTTAAATTCCGAATGAAACTAACCCAACCAGGATGCTTGAACGGGTGTGATTGTAAGAAATTCATTCTGATTATGTTCATTGTGAATACCGGTGACAGCTGGAATTATAATCGTCGGCAGTAAAATGCATAGGCCCATGTTGAACATGAGAAGATTTTTAACGCTTGTTGCCACAAACTGTCAAGATAATTGAGATTTTTTATTTACACTTTTCTTGGGAAATTACAATTAAGCATTGCTGTTTTCAAATTGAATTTGCGAAGTTAATCGGTATTTTCGTGGGAAATGTTGAATTTTCTAATGAACTCATTCTTGTAGATTTCTGGAGGCCTTATTGAAAAACAATAACTCAATAGTTTCTTCATGATGAAGCAGAGCCGGCTAAAGAGTTTTTATTTTAAATTGATATACCTGTGACAAGAATCGACGAAATCTGGAGTTGTTATTTTTCTCGACATTTTGCTCACAATTATTATCGAATGACATAGTTGTGCTCATTTATATTCCTTCGTGAGATTTAATTTAAAGTGTATCGGCACCGTCTCTAAGTAAAATCCAAATTCTGACTACTTCAAGTGATCGCATGTTAGATAAGCTTAGTGCGAGCATACAATAAAAAGATTAACATCTTATCAGTTTTGGATCCATAAAATTGTTTTAAAAAACATTAAAATAGACATGTTCGCAGTTGATGAATAGCATTTTATCATGTTTTATGGAAATTTATTTCTCGTGTTGGTGATAACAGAAAAAATAAAATAAAATACAGTAAACCCATATTTAATTGATTTGAACCCAACTTCAATAATATAGGATTCAGTTGATGATGAAGAAATTAAATGATTTTTTAACATTTATTTTATTAAAGAGAGAAAGTAATTTAATTGAAAAGGTGTTGAATAAACGATGATCATCTGTTGTTGTAATCTGTTGGTGTGGAATGTAATGCAGTGACCGGTTGGTCTGTTCTTCACTTGTTTCGACGATGAACATTCTTCATGTGTTGATTAGCGTTGCATTGCAGAGAG